TTCATCAAAAACAGGTCCCAAAGAGGATGAAATGTTGCAAATGGAAGAGGAGGAATCAAGCCCACCCACGGCAAGGATGGACACACCTATGCCGCAAGTGTCCATGGCCCCTAAACCTTCAAATATGTCCAATAAGGGTAAGAATGTGTTAAATTCAATTCCGACTAATGTTTTCCTTTGAATGTCCCATTTCCTAGTAGATTTTTGCAATCAAAGAACGAAGAGGAGGAAAAAGATGTTCTAGAGACATTTAGAAAGGTGCATGTCAACATTCCCCTCCTTGATGCCATAAAGCAAATCCCGAAGTATGCCAAGTGTTTAAAGAAGCTTTGTACAACAAAGAAACGTGTCCGGGAGAAAGAGGTGGTACATGTAAGTGAGAATGTCTCCACCATCTTGCAACATAAACTACCCCCCCAAATGCAAAGATCCGGGGAGTTTTACAATTCCGTGTGTCATTGGTAATACCCGTTTCAAATATGCCATGCTTGATTTAGGTGTTTCTATAAATGTTATGCCATATTCCATTTATGCATCTATGAACTCAGGAGCATTGAAAAATGATGATGTAATCATACAATTGGCTGATAGATCTAACGCTTATCCAAAGGGAGTTTTGGATGACGTTTTAGTGCAGGTTGATCATTTAATCTTCCCGGCAGATTTCTATGTCCTCGAAATGGATGAATCGGACCATGCCCCTTCATTGCCCATCCTCCTTGGAAGGCCATTCATGAAAACGGCTCAAACGAAGATTGATGTGGCCAAAGGATTAGTCACTATGGCATTTGGTGGTGACATGATTAGTTTTAAAATTTCTGAATCCATTGAGACTCCTAATATTGTTCATTCTTGTTGTGCCATTGATAAAATTGAAAAGATAGGACTGGACCATTCAGCACCAAGCACAAAGGATGCATCAACAACCATGCAAGACGAGGGAATTGGAATGGAGTACAAGGACCATACGGCCACTGCCCTCACAATGCTCAAATTGGCCGAAAGTACCATGGGGAAGAATGTTCACATTGCTACCACTTCATCACATCACATAGGTAAGCCACCTAATCCAAATCCAATTCCCATTAAAGTTGATAGGTGGTTCCCTTCTTTGGTGCAGATACCCAAGCAGATCCCCGACGGTGGGCATAGGAACGTGAACCTTAGGCAACACAACGCACCCATCAACAAACATCACTATCCATTTCCGTTCAAGGATGCAATGTACGAGAGCTTTGTAGAACAAGATGTGGAGGAGACAACCCACTATGCCGTGGGTTCCCATGAAGGTTGATCAAGGTGTTCATCGTCCGGCTGGAAGACGTTAAAGCAAGCGCTTTAAGGGAGGCAACCCATTTATTCTGCTTGATTGTCAATTTTATTACTTGTTTAATTATTTTTTGTTGTGACTTTCTATTTTGAAACATTAACAAATATGCAAAGGATTTTAACATTAAACTTCGTGGAAATGAACAGCAAACTGGGAAATAAAGAAACATAGCATAATACAAGAGGGAGCCTTCACAAAGGCTGCTTGGGAGAGGTCGCAGTAGTCGGCAGAGCTGCAGTAGTCGGCGGAGTCTCAGCAGTCGGTGGGGGCCACGGAAGGATGAGGTATCGGAGGTTGATCAGTTGGAGCTTCACTACGCGGTGCCGCCCTAGAAGACGAAGGCAAATGCTGTTGGAACAAACAACCACAAACCTCCGGTGATCAAGTAAAATGATAAAAATCTGACCATCAGTTTCCTGCAGCTGGTCAATTTTTCTCTTCATGTTTGTGGCATAATTGTGTGCAAGCTTGTGCAATTGTTTATTTTCATGCTTGAGTCCTCTAATCTCCTCTTTGAGACTCTGTATTTCAGCCACCAACGATTCAACGTGACGGGGTTCGAGCAAATAGGCGTTGGGCCATGTTGGACACAGAACCCGCACACTGCACGCTAAGAGCCAGAGACTCCTTAACCGCCAATTCATCAGACCGTCTAGCGAGCAGTCTGTTATCTCTGGGGGTGACAAGGTTCCGGGCCACCACCGCAGCGGTCATGTCATTTTTCATCACCGAATCCCCAACGGTGAGAGGACCAGTATGGGATATGAAGGACGGGCGCCATATGTTGTCTGGAGAAGGAGGGGCTGCTCCTTCACCAAGGTTCAAGTCAAAACGACGGTCGGAAGGGCCAGACATTTTTCAGAGGTGTTAAAGAAAGAGGAGATCGGACAAGTCAAGATCGTAGAAGTGCAAAACGGGAGTTTTTACAGGCAGAAATTCAAGAGTGCTTTGAACATCCTGCATACCTCTATAAAAATCAGCACGCGATGGGATTTCAGAGATCGAAGAGGTGAGCTCAGAAATCGAAGAAGCCATTCGGAGATCGAAGAGGCGCCAGTTTTCTCAAAAGTTAGGCTTGCTCACAAACCACCAATTCCAGATACCGAAGAGCGTCAACTGTCTCAGCCTCGTCAACACTCATCACACGCAACTCAGCTTTGCGAAAATCACGGGCAGTCTGTTGAAGCACCGATTCCAACCATCTGTCTCTCTCAGCCTCGTCAGCACTTGTCACATGCAATCTCTGCCCTCAACAAAGCTCAGAACTCGAAGCGTAAATTCCGGATATTAAAGAGGCCTCTGCTTTATCGAGACGTGTCAGCATCTGTCAATTTGCACATCTGCGTTGCGTAAATCACGCGCAATCTATCGAAAATTTTTGGAGAAGCGGAATGCACGTGAAAACTACTGTTAAATTATCCCAGGCTTGCCGACACGAGTAATGGAACAATGCCTTCCCAGCCATTAAGAAAATTCTATAAATGTTGAACTTCAAAGTGAAACAGTCTCACCCAACTTTCAGCCTCACTTAACCCTTCATCCTCTCTGAAATGGCTTTCCAACAAACCCTCTCGAGTCACTCTGTATTTTTCATCCCCTGGGATACCCCTGCAACAACCCCATCCAGAGCACAAGTATTTCATATCATAAAGGTTGAGAGCACGAGTATCTCATATCATGCTTTCTCCCTGTCCTTTCTCCAGCCAGCACATGCTCTCGAGTACTCATCATCTTGTGTTTTCTCTTCGTCTCTCACGTATAAGGGAAGTGAAGATGATACCTCGAAGCATGTGGAGACAACGTGCTGATTCATCCTCAACTAGGGACAAGGAGAAAGAAAGCAAGAGGTGGGCACTTGGAAAGATTGAAGAAAGAAACAGACCAACACCTTTACCTCATGCCTTCCCGTCATGCAGAAGAAACAAGCAGAGAAGAATGCAGCTTGCACAATCAACCCAGCAGAAGGAGTCTGAGATGAAGAACTAGAGAAGCTGCCACATCTGCTTGGAGAACAAATAAGGAATTGCAACATCACCAAAGAGCAAAGCTTCGCCGTACAATTCCAATCCAGTTCAAGATCAAAGCTGTGGAAAGTCAACAAGATCAACTATCTCCAAAACCAGATTTGCGTTCTTAAACTCTACTCTGTCTGGTTTTTACTTTGCCATATTTGTCATGTTTATTTGTCGTATGTTATTTGCTTGTTTTTGGTGTGAGTATATGCTTGAAACATTGAGGACAATGTTTGATTTAAGTGTGGGGGGGGGTAACCATTGTTTTGCATGAAATTTGTAGAAATTTTATCACCCATTACTTCTAGTGTTGTTCCTTGTTGTTTTAAGTATTTTTTTAAGCTGTTTTGGAGTGTTTCAGTTTGTTTGACATAAAAATCCGAAACTTCATAAAAATTTGAAAATTGTTTTTTTGAAAATCCAAAAAGAGTTGTTTTTGTGTGCTTTTTGTGTCTAGGGTACCTTCCACAATGACTTGTTTTTCTCCTTTTAGATTCCACCATCTAGTCCTTGGGCACTTCCAAGTCTTGTTCTTTTTTCTCACTCGTTTGATATGTACATCCATCACCAACAAGCGATGTTGATTAGCCAAGCTCTCTCCCGGTATAACTTTGCAATCCTTACAAGTTATACGATCCCCTTTCCTCATTAGAAGAAAATCTATTTGTGTTTTTGACGACCCACTCTTGTAGGTGATCACATGTTCTTCTCTCTTCTTAAAGAAAGTGTTGGCTAAGAAGCGATCATATGCCATTGCAAAATCCAAGATAGCTTCCCCATCCTTGTTTCTCTCCCCAAAACCATGGCCACCATGAAAACCTCCATAGTTGCCTGTCTCCCTGCCCACGTGTCCATTTAAATCTCCTCCTATAAATAACTTCTCCGTCTAGGCAATTCCTTGCACCAAGTCTCCAAGGTCTTCCCAAAATTTCTCCTTCGAACTCGTATCCAACCCTACTTGAGGTGCGTACACACATTGATGAGTTCTTGTCCTATTACAATCTTGATTGCCATGATTCTATCTCCTACCCTCTTGACATCTACAACATCTTGTGTCAAGGTCTTGTCCACGATGATGCCAACACCGTTTCTCGTTCTATTTGTGCCCGAATACCAAAGTTTAAACCCTGAGTTTTCTAGATCCTTTGCCTTAAGACCAACCCACTTAGTTTCTTGTAGGCACATAATATTTATCATTCTCCTCACCATAACTTCCACTAGTTCCATAGATTTTCCCGTTAAGGTTCCTATATTCCACGTTCCTAAACGCATTCTGCTTTCTTGAACTCTACCCTTCTGTCCTAGCTTCTTCACCCTCCCTCGTCCAATAGAATCAAAGTACTTCTTTTGTGTGTCCTGTGTAAAGTTGATAGGAGCATATGCTCCCAAACAACTTTGAGTGGAGTCGTTCGAAAAGAAGTTTCTATGGCCCCCTTGCTCATTTAACACTACATCCGGGTGCCGATGGAGATACAGCGACCCTTGCTCACTTATCATTGTGCTCGGGCCACACAGCGCGCCACTTACGGGTGACGCCCTAGCTTTAGCGCGATTTCGTTCTGGATTCATTTTCATAAGGATTCGACATAACTGTGGAGTGCCGACTATCGACTACCTGACGTCCTCCCCCTCCTCCTTTACCCGGGCTTGGGACCGGCAATGTAAGATAAACTTACACAGACGGAGTTATGTTAGAATTGAACCCCAAAAAAAAAAGAAAAAAAGAAAAGAAAAAGGTTAGAAGTAGTTCCAAGCTCTTTAAAGATTTCAAATGCTATATGATGTCTGCTTCTTTGGCTGAATTGTTGTTGTTCTTATGTATTTGGCACATAGATTGTATGCTTATTGCCTACTGATTTGTTAATTTTGATAATGCTGAGTTGTCGCATTCTGTGGTCATTTCAGGAAGTGTGGTAGAATGCAACAATTGAGCATTATCAAATTTATGATCTGACAAATGGTTTTAGCAGTAGTTGTACTTATCATGCTTGGCAACCAGGTTTAGACTGCCCCTTTTCTTTTATTTTGCTCTTCCTTTCTTTCTTTCCTTTTGCTTCGGAGAGGAGAAAACTAACCTTTTGTTTTTGGTTTTGTGGGGAAATAGATATAAGGGTTGGAAAATGAATCTATTAGCATTTCCCCAACTGCTTTTATTTTTGTAATTTTTGGGGGGTTTTGTCTGTGTGCTCGGATGCTGTCTGATTTCAGTCTTTTTTGCTTTCAGGAAAAGGAAACATTGGTGTTCGAATTTTGCAGCTACATGTCAAGATGCAAGCAAAGGCTATGCAGGTGTGTTCCTGTTAATTGCAATTTCATTACATTCAATGTCCAGATATTCTTAATTCCAACAATTGATTTCATGTAATTGAAATTTTGTTACATTCAATGTGCATGTATTCTCATTTGCTAATTTACTTATCAATCGCCATTTTCCATTGATTAATGCTCATCATCTGCAAACCCCATTGCCCCTGTATCTTAAAGTTTTTCTCTTTCTTCTTTCCCCCTCATTTGGGTGCATATAAATTTGGCTAATTGTCATTTTTATTTACTTACGCTACTTTAGTTTACATTCTAGCCCATTCAGTCAATTGCTTTCCCAAAATAATTGTATTTTAAGTAAAAATTATTGGGTTGGTTAGAATTTCAATTTGGGTTTTGATTTTTATGCATTCAAACTTTCAGTCCACAGTTGAGAGACAAGGAAAAGTTTAGGGTTTTTGTTTGGCCATAATTGACGAAGTAAAGGTAAGTCCTTTCCCATTTGTGATATGTTGTATTACTCTTTTCTTCTCAATTTTAATTGTTTACAGTAATCGGTTTCTTTGTTTTTTTTTATTAGGCATTTTATGTCCTTATTCCTTGGTCACTTTTTCACCAACTAATTGGTTTTGCTGTGACAGTCCTTCGTCTATTTATATATCCTAATCATTTTTGTGTTCTATCTTTTCTGACTCGGATGATATTGATCAAATGAATTAGTTAGAAACTGAAAATTACATTAGTTCCATCAATATGTTGATCAAATGAATGAGTTAGAAGCTGAAAATTACATTAGTTTCTTAATGCTTTTATTACTAAACAGATTTTGTGTATGTGTAGAATAACTATTAGGTTTGTGGGTTTTGAACAGCTTTGCTCTTCCCAAGAGCTATGAACTCTTTAGTTTTCCAATTTTATGAATTGGGTTTTTGTTTTTCTTTTCAGGCACGCAATCAAAGATATGGTGGTGCGCGAATCACCTAGAAACTAATGTATGTGTAGGAAAATATATGCATTTTAGAATGTTCTCGATGTGAGTAGGGTTTTTGAAATTGTGTTTTGGCGTGTGTGAAGCTGAATGATGCAGTTTTGATTTTTTTTCAATTTTTTTTTATTTCCTGTACAGAACAGCTTTGATCTTCCACAGGACTACTCTCTGTTGCTTCTGAAAGATCTCCATCTCGATGTGAATAGGGTTTATTCAATCTGTGTGGATTACCCAGGTGTTGAATTTGATAGATAATGTGACTTTTGAGATGGCAGAGTTTTTGAAATTGTGTTTTTGGCATGTCTGAACCTGAATGATGCAGCCTTTGATCTTTCAAATGGAAGGGTTGTCGATGAGGTTAGTTATTTTTGAGGCTCTGCTTCTGCAAACGTTAACTCTTTACATGGATATCGAATTTTATGTGAATTTTAGTCATATATCAAACTGCTCTACACCAAACTCTGTGTACTACAACAATTATAATTAGCTTAGTATACAATTTTGTTTTACAGTGGATTTATAATGACCAAAATATATACAAAGCATATGGATCAATTTTTCTAAGCCTTATTAGTTCCCTAAATTGTGGTATTTCATGTTTAATAGTGTTAAATACTTTATATGTTATATTTTATTGTGCTCCTTCGTTCTTTTAGTAATTTTTAATGCTTCTTCACAATATAGCTAAAGAAAGAACACTCTTATGTTATCCACCTTTGTTATTTCTCTTATGGTTGGACATTTTTGTTTTCATTCTTTTAGTTCTTGCCTAATTGTTATTTCATTTTGGTTTTTTGTTTCTCTATATAGATGTTATTTTGAAATAGAAAGAATTTTCAAGAGCATACTTTATTACAATTTTCCTTTAGTCGGGTTCACAAAATGAAATTCAAAACATCATTTCTATAAGATTCACCCTAAAAACCCTTGCGATGAAAGTAATGGGATTTCAGTTTCCTTGCAGATATTCAGGTGTCGTTATCATTCTTAGCCTTCTTTATTTCAAAACTACCTTAACCTCAAGCTCACCTGCAAGTTCCTGCTCACCAGGTATTACAAAGTAATAAGAAAATTGGCTCGCCTTCTAACAACATTACTGTCATATTTTGACACTAAAAGCATACTATACATGCAGTTCCCCGTTTTCTATCTTCCTTTATTCTTTTTATTTTTATATATGTGTAATTATTTATGTATAAAATGCAATTCTCAAACATTGTAAATCTAAGTTAGCCTAATAATTTTAACATGCAAGGAAATAGCTTTGTCCAGCAAGGAAATACCTCTTCGCAACCAACTCAATCCAACAAAACTTTTACTGCTCTTAAAAACATTATCTGCTCAAGTAAGTTCTCAGTTTTCATATACTTTTTATTTCTTGATGATATCTAGGTGATTTACATAGTTTTCAACCATTAGATCACATAACTTACATTTATAATTCTATTGTTTCTGATTGTATAAATAAATGCCTTTTTCTTGCCAGCTAGATGATGTCATGATGTGGTTTAGTGGTATTCAATACAATTGAAGAAACTGTCTCTTTAATCTACTCATGTTGTGGGATTTCAAAAATGAAAGCCACTTGCTTTTTCAATCTTTTGAAACAAATTAGCTTTGTAAAGTAACAAAACAAGAATATTCCTAGAGGGAATACAATTGTCTGCTTTGCTAACGTAGTTCTATTTAGATTGATCAATGGTATAATACTCCTTTTTGTGGATTGTTTCGAATTTTTGAATTTTGTATTCAAAATTGGGTTTTGTAAAAAATTTAGCTACAATTGTCGATCAATCTAGAGATTTAATTCAACTTCAAATTTCGGAGTGTGATGTTGATGTTTTATTTTATCTTTGGATGGAGTGAATATCCAGCTACTTCAGTCCTTTGCTGAAGTCTACAATTGAGTAGAACCAATGTCGAGTATCAATGGTGAAGAAGATCTCGATGAATGAAAGGAGATTAGAGTCTCGATTCTTATTCCTTGAAGGCGGTGCTCAACCTACGATAAGGTTTTTTCTTAACACATCTAATTTTTAAGTTTTCAGTCATTTTAATGGATAGTTTGGTATTTGGGCGGCTTTGATCTTTGATTTGAAATATGTGATTTTGTCTAATTCTTTCTGATCCTCGATTTCTATTGATGTTTAGGGTTTAATGAAGATTCTCGAATGAGGTTGGTTGAGACCAAAAAAATGGTATGTGTCAAATTTTTGTTTTTCTATTCCTTTAATTTTATGCAAAGTTTTATGCAGAGTTTTGATGTGCTACTTATCTAATTGGGTACGTTGTATATATGCATGACCTGATGGTATTCCGTTAAATTACTTATATGCAAAAATTGTTTTTTGTCATGGTTCTAAATGATTTGTTAGATGCTATTTTGACTTCAGTTTTTTTTCTTTTTCTTCTACTAATCTTTTCCTATATGTTTGATTTATAGGCCTCTTGAATTTTGAATTGTGATTGGAAATTGGAGTATAGGTAAAACCACTACTTATTTTTCTTATTACTTTTCCTTTAAATGTCTTTTGAGTCTGAGATTGAGTCTATAGATTGTAAATTTCCGACACTTATGCATACTTCGGTGCATACAAGAAAGCCAATGTTTTTCTTTTAGGTATAAAGAACCAAATACGTTATATAATATATATATATATATATATATATATATATATATATATATATATATATATCTTCAACGAATGCTTTGTTGTTTTTACTTTTAATTGTTTTGTTTAATGGTTGTTTGGATCCTTAAAAATATTCTTCGTTCAAATGTCTTTTTGGATGGATAATTAAATTGATATAGATTTTGTTTTTTTGGATGGATAATTAATTCGACATAGATTATGTTACCTTTTGCTTTATCAGTTTACTTATTTGAATGAAATGCAAATTCCAATATTCCATGTTTGAACATAGGTTTTGCATTGTCAAGCCCTGAAATTAGAACGTAGGTTTGTCACATGAAATTGAATTTTTCCATGTTTGAGAACTTTCTTTTTGTTCAAATTGTGTTACCAGTTTTGTGTTTTTTTTTTTTTTTTTTTTTTTTTTAGCATCTAGCAGGTGGACTTAAAAGACATCAAGTATGCAGGGGAATGGTAGGATTATCATTTTAGAGGTAGACACTCATGTTAAACTTCTATTCTGGTCTTTTTATCATTAAATTTTGGTGAAAACATTGTTTAGTATAACCCTTATCCCAATACAAAATAACAGGTACCAGACTAGCTTACCATGGAGCTTATAATAGTCTAATTGATGCTGAAATCTTATTTGGCCAATTTGCTGGAACTACAGTGTTTTTACCGAGAATCTCTTTAAAGACCACAGAAAGCACTGGACTCCCATGTGAACTGGTGCGAAAACAGTTTCCTGTGAAATTGAGTTTTGCACTAACCATGTTGTGTACGAAGATATTTTGCTTCCATCAAATATACGATAAGGCTACATTCATTATGATGTTTAATTCACTTTTCAAATCTATGTAGATATACATCTAAATTGTATAAGTCGCGCATAGAACGCTGTAAGTATAAAAGAGCCTTCCGCATGCGCATGAGCGAGTGCATGGAGGCTAGTTTGTATAGTATGAACAAACAAGTACTATTTCGTTGGAATACTATCAATTTGGACAACATATCAAATAAAAAGTGCACACCATCAAGGGTCTAGTTTGACAACGTACTTGACAATATAACGTGTCAGACCATCTAAATAAAGATGATTTCCCTACAAATCTATGCCCCACTGATATACAAGATTCTGCCGTGAGAGAGAGGGGGAAGAAAACTGTTAGGATTATGAAAGATGTTCGGATCCATCTTAGCTCTATATAAAGGGTGAATCACCTCCCTATATTTTACCTCACAAGAATTCCTATAAATTGGGTTCTGCTCAAGCTGCTAGACAAACGCAGCTTACCCAAACTAAAGTTCCACAGAAAACTGATACCATGGGGATTTACAAGTTCATTTCACCCCTTCTCTTCTTCTCATATTTCTGCATGCATGCATTTGTTCTGAACTCATTTCTTAGTTTGGCCCTCGCCGGATCAAACAAGACGGATAAACTGGCCTTGCTCGAATTCAAGGCTTGGATAACCACAGACCCCTTTGGAGTCATGACTTCATGGAACGAAACCCTCCACTTTTGCCAATGGCACGGCATTACCTGCAGTCACCGCCACAAGAGGGTCACAACGTTGACGCTGAGGTCCTTGAAGCTTGGAGGCTCCATATCGCCACATGTTGGAAATTTGAGTTTCCTCAGAGTGTTTAGTCTCTCAAACAACAGCTTTAGCCATGAAATCCCTTCAGAAATTGGCCGTCTGCGCAGGTTGCAACGTTTGGGATTGCAAAATAATTCACTGAGTGGGGAAATTCCTGCTAATTTATCAGGTTGCTCTGAACTCAACTACATAATTATTGGCGGCAATTTGTTAGAAGGTAGTATCCCTAAGGAGCTTGGCACCTTGTTAAAAGCTAATTATATTCGATATTGCATACAACCACCATACAGGAAGTATCC